CAGTGGGGGAGTCATCGGCCTCCTCGACATGTTAGGAGTGAGCGTGGTAGACTTGGCTCATCTCATCCAACAAGAGGTCTAATGCGTGAACTTCGTCGCCGACTTGTTGTTGGAGACGCGACACGATAGCAAAGGAGTCCATGGGTTTCTTCAAAAAAGTGATTGTGAGTTATCACTACGCGCTACTCCGAGTAGGTATTTGGTGTAGAGTCGCAGCAGATATTCACTGTCAGTTGTGTAGGATATTGTCATATAGGTTGTAAATGTGGAATAGCGTTGTCATATTGTTTTTGTATCGGTTTATTCTTCAATGACGCAGTCTTTGATCATTTGTTCAATCTCTTCGTCATTTACAACGTTAGTTCGATTTTAGCCAATCCTATCACATTTACATATTTTAATTCTATATATATATTGATGTACAGTATTATTGGCAATCACTGATCAAGAAATTAGTAAGTGAACAAGAGGTCTATTATTAGTCGTACTAGGACGTAGAAAACAGAACACCTGTCCCAGCTAACTACCGGAATCTCACTCTTGGTTCTGCAGCGCCGTGGTAACATCAAGTCAATCAAGTCTGCGGCTTGCAGGGATTCGGCACTCCCCCATTTGGTGGTTTATGTGGGCACTGGCGTGGGAGACAACACAAAGTGTACTTTAGTTCAAGTAACCTACGGGACTACGAGAAATGCCGAAGAAATAAAAAAACACTCCCAGATGCCGAAGACTGCCGCAATGGCGCCAGGAGCCACGGGCACCGAGACGGAGGAAGAAGTATCAGTGACGGAGCCACCGTTGGTCCCGGTTGTCGGAGGGACCACGGATGTGCTGACGGCTGTAAAAGAGACCAACAATGAGAAGACCGGAAGGCGATGATAGAGCTGGCCAAGGCGAGCAAGGCCACGAGTAGCGCCCGAGTGGCGTCCATGAACTGGGATGAATCGCGGCTACGATATGGCGGCCAAACTATGGGACCGAACTGGGAACAATTACCACGACCCTCGATCGAATGCAGCTACATCAACGAAGACTACCCCCACCCGAGAAGTCCGAGGCCGAAATGCGAGCGGACGAAAAGATGGAAGCCCGAGCCAAGCTACGTGCTGAACGACAAAATCGAGCGGACAGTTCTCCCGACAGAGAAAAGAAGTAATGGAATACCAGGAAGAACAGCGTAAGCAAGCTGAGCGGCGACGGATCATCAAGTCCAATCGTCCTTCGAAGGAAAAGGGCGATGACCGCGCCAAAGTGGCACACGCGGCCCATGATCGTCGGATGCTTGACACGACCTTGCCGAGCAGCTCAGGATGGGGATCGCTTTCGAGCGGACCACCGACGCTAAGCAGCGGAAGATGGGGACCCAGCATCAACCCCGGTGGACCTTCATTGGTCGTGACAGATGTCCAAGAGACATGCAAACATACTGTCGGGAATTTAGAGGAAATTACCCACATCCACCGGGTGGATACATCAAGCCGGAACGAAGTGCGGCGGTGTGGTCCCCGTCGACCCAGAAACCAGGGGACCCACGGAGGACCCACCAACCAAAAAGTACAGCCCGCAAACAAACCTGCGCCCCCAAGACACGACGACCGCCCTGCCCAAGTTGTGCGTGATGAAGCGTGCCCTCGATTTGCACCCGCCCGGGATGACCGCGGCATGCTGTGCTTTGTCTGCCAGCAGCCAGGACACATGGCCCCGGAGTGTCCCAACAAAAAAGACGGGGATAGCGGCGATACAAGCTGGAAGAAGGGCAAGAACGCCGTCAAGCAGTTCAAGGCGAAGGAACGCAAAGCGAATATGCAAGCCAAGCGAATGAAGGAGCTCCCACCACCCAACATGGAAGATGATGGACGTTGGGTGCGACTGAACTGTGTGCTGAGTTCCTTACTGCCCGGACACCGGCGCAGACCAGACATTATGCCACAAGCCATGATGCATGAACTTCAAGCGTTACAACCCCACTTCAAGGTGTTAAGCTGGCGGCGCCATTTGTGAGAACAGCATTCAACCAGATGCCGTTCGAGGCAAGCTCCTACGTGGACCTTACGCGGGACAATGCAGACGGCCGCTAGACCAGTCAAGGTGCCAGGCAGGCGCCGCTGTTATGTGGTTAACGATGGAGATGAGTTTCTCGTCTCGGATGACACCCTCAAGACCATTGATATCGACATCAACGCCTGCTGGAACAGGTGGCGCGCCTACAAGTGGATGAAGACGGCGACGATCTGGAAGAAATTGGTGGCGATTGCATTGAGTTGCCCCAGCGATCGGCCGTCCGAGCCGCGTCCATGAAGGCGGTGGTACCTGTAGCCAAGAATGAAGTCGAGGAAGCCCTGCAAGGTATGATCGACGGCGCAGTCGGTAACACATTTCCAATGGAACATGTTAAGTACTTGTGGGATGTGCTCAGCAAGCATGACATCTGGCGAGTCAAGTTCGACGGGTCAGATCCACCAGCGCAAGTGAAGCCACTGAAGGTGACCCCGAAGGATGGGTGTGTTCCTTACCGATGCAAAGGAAGGAAGCACAACCTCCTGGAGGAGAGGTTCTTCAAGTACACAAGAACTACTCGATGCAGGCGTGATCGAGAGCAACCAGCAGAGTGCGTGGTGTAGCTCGGTGAACCAAGTCCTCAAGCCAGATGGGCGCAAGTCATTGAAGTCGGATGACGATGACGTGCTCAAGAACTATCGGCTAACCAACGACTGCCGCGTCGTGAGCTCGTTAACCGAGCCGAAGGTGGGGACAATGCCATTCCAAGCTACCATCCTACATAACCTGCGTGGCAAGAAAGCGATGGGGGTGTTTGACCTGCCCAAGCGCTTTTGGCAGTTCCCGCCGCACCCAGACAGCTGGGACATGTTGTCGTTCATGCTGAATTAATGCGTGTACACACCGGACTGGGTGATGCAAGGCCATGTGGACAGTGCTCTCTACGTGCAATCTACGAACGAGGAGTGCTACAAGGACCTGCTCTACAAGGCATACTGATCTGGATCGACGGCATCTTTGTGTACGCTGACACAGTGAAAGAGTACGTGAATGCCCTCGAGTCGTTCTTCGATCGAGTGGCCCAGTTCGGGTTCAAGCAGAGTCCGGCCAAAACCAAGCTGCTCACGGACCAAGTCACGTGGTGCGGAGACATCATCAGCGGTGATGGCGTCAAGCAAGACCCTGAACGCATTGAGCATCTGTGTGCGATCCCCTACCCTACGAATGCGGGTGAATTGCAGCAGTTTGTGTGCGCCATGAACTGGCTGCGGGACTCGATGACAGAGTACGTACAGACCGTCGGCCCACTGCAACAGTGTCTGACGAAGGCCCTCGAGGGCAAGGGTACGCAGAAGCGAATCGCGTCTGGTGTTCACTTGGAACTAACCGACAGCGAGAAGCAAGAATATGAATGGCACCGTAAAATCCAAGCTACGATAATCGGTGGAACTGTCTCACCCGCGTGATGACGTCACGATATGTCTGTTTACGGATGGAAGCGATTATGGATGGTCGATTGTGGGTAACGCAAGTGGTGGCATTCGATGACGACAGCTCAGTCCAAGAACAACGTCACGAAATGCTCTTATGTCAGCCAAGAAGGCGTGGTCAGTCATCGAGAAGGAGGCCTACCTAAATTGCGCGTGCGTGCGAGAAGCTCAACTATATGCTTACGCGACCTACGGGTCAAAATGTACTGTGACCACAAGAACCTCATCCATGTATTTGCCCCGGGCGAAAAATGGAAGGCACACACACGTGGCAAATTCATGCCATGGGCTGCCTTTTGTGGCGGCTATCGTTATGAAATCATACACATCGACGGTATCCACAACCTCTGGGCTGACATGATGAGCCGCCGGGATCAGCCGACACCAAGTCTGGCGACCAAGCGGGTCAAAATACGTCAGGGACATCGCTGGTCAAAGACGATCTAAACACGCAACGTCCCTCCACCGGCACACCCAAAGCCGCGGCCGCTGAACAAGGACTTTGTGTGGCCATGTGTGGCGGACATCAGTCACGCCTAAGACCAGCATGGCAAGGACAAACCAAAGCGAGCCACAGTGGTGGACGGACTGTGGCAAGTGGACGAGCGGTTATGGATTCTGAGTGCGGCGAATGACCTGATCCAACGGATCATGGGCGTTGCCCACTGCGGCAGCGCTGGACATCGTGGACATGCAGCGTTGGTGGCGACAATCCGCCGCCTGTTCTATGTCGACCACTAGGCCGACAGGGCCAGTAAAATTCTCCTTTGCTGCTTATTGTGCCCTCATGTTAAAGGGGGAAGGGTGGTCCATCGACCGTATGCCCCGAGATGTCACGCGAAAGAGCGCAACGAAGGAATCCACTTCAACTACCTCTACATGGGATAAGTGTTCAGTGGCGCTAAGTACGTGCTGGTAGTCAAGGACGACCTTACCCACTACTGCGAGCTCATTGCATGCGATGGTCTCACGAGCCAGGTTTGTGTGGATGACCTGGTGGACTGCACGAAGCGGTTTAGAATGCCGCGAGTCTGAGTCAGCGACCAGAGAACGCATTTTAAAAACGTGGCCATGAAGGCGTTGGCCCACAAGTTCAAGGTCCATCATGACCTAACCTTGGTCTACTGCCTGGTGCAATGGAACGATTGAGCGGATGAACCGCGACATCCTTCAAGTGATGCAGGTCATACTGCGAGAGTGCCAGCTAGCTGAACAAGGTGGTCCAAGCCAACCTCAACCAAACACAGGCCGCGTCACGGGCGAGCAAGTCGCCTATGGAGCTGTTTACGGCTTTAAACCCGGTGAATGTCGTCGTGGTGGGCATGAACAAGGAACTCTGAGAAAGCGATTGGATATCCCCAAGAACCTGGACAAGCTGCGTGCTAGCCTGCAAGTCATGCACAAAGAAGTCCTAGACAAGAATGCGATGCGTGTGGCGAAGGCGACGAAGGCGACCGCAAAGTACTAGCGGTGCAATGTCAGCGAAGGCGATTTTGTGCTCTGGTCCCGCGTCGACGAACGATACCATCCCAAGCTGCTCGTAACCTGGACGGGCCTCTACCGAATCAAGGAAGTGGGCGAATTCTCCGTCGTGCTGGAGCATCTGGTGACTCTCGAGCTGCGGGAAGCCCACACGTCGAGAGTCAAGCTCTACATCGAATACAGCTTTGAAGTGACTGAAGAGATCCTTGAACACGTTTCCGAGCAAGGGATCATGCTGAAGGTCGAGTCCATCGCCGGACACAATTGTCCCGGATGTGAAAGACTTCATGCTGGAAGTGCTTTGGGAAGGTTTTGAGGATATCGAGTTCTCATAGGAGCCGCTGCAGAAGCTCATGCATGAACGCCTGGCCATGGTGAGGAACTACGTTGAAGGCGTGAAGAAAGCGAGGGAGCGCGAAGAACTAGCGATGCCCAGTGTGTCCGACTTGGGGTGCGTGTTGTGGTGGGCGACTTCATCCAGGTTCCGCAATGACACAGGTGGTCCTCAACCGAGGCCACCGGGTGCCGACCCTTGGCGAACCGACATGGAAATGCGTAGTATTATTAGTCGTACTAGGACGTAGAAAACAGAACACCTGTCCCAGCTAACTACCGGAATCTCACTCTTGGTTCTGCAGCGCCGTGGTAACATTAAGTCAATCAAGTCTGCGGTTTGCAGGGATTCGGCACTCCCCCATTTGGTTGTTTATCTTGGCACTGGCGTGGGAAACAACACAGGTCGGTACTTTTGGTGGTCGGAGTACCATATGTATTGGTAGAGTGTATCGACCCCTATATCAGGTCTGAGAGTTTAGGTAGTTTGAGTGCCTCGTTGTAACTCACTTCGCCTTTTACCTTTGAATATTCCAACGCTTTGGTTTCGATCGGTTTTGAAGTGGTTGACAGTGAGATACAACAAAGAATCTTTAGTCAAAAGAGTGATTTTGTACCCAGAATTCCGATGATTTTCCCCTTACAGTTTACAAGTAAATTTAATTCGGTTTTTCCATTGGTCACGAGCTTTGGCTGTCACAATTTTTCACACTTTGCATCATACTCTTCATGGAACACATCCTACCAGTGTTGCCGCTGGTAGCTGAGCTCGTGGAGTATATGAACTCCACAGCGTCATCACCATCCCTGCCGGACGGTTCAACTTCAACTCCCAGACCAAAGCGGACTGCCGACTCAAGTTCCGTTTCGGTAAGACCGACATCCCCGAGCTCGCACGCCTTCTTGCCCCCCCCGATCCCTTCATCACCAAGGCCCGCTACCACGCGACTGCTGTCGAGGCCATTTGTATCATGCTCAATCGCCTGGCGTGGCCTCATCGTCTTGGCTCCATGGTTCAAATATTTGTTCGTAGCAGAGAGGCGTTGTTTGCACTTTCAAACGCGGCAAAGCTATATGCGTATGAGCGATTCGGCCATCTCCTCGACTGGGACTATCAGCGGCTCGACAGCCATTGGATGCAGCGCTACGGTGACGCCATTTACATGCAAGGAGCCCCTCTCAAGACCTGCATTGGACTTATTGACGGCATAGTTCGGGGATTTGTCGTCCAAGCAAACCAGCGCAAAAGGTGGTATACAATGGGCATAAGGTATACTGTTAATACACGCAATACATTGCCGACTTAATATCTATTGGTAGCGCAAACATGCCCTCAAGTACCAAGCTGTAACGTCGCCGGATGGAATTATTGTTCATTTCCACGGTCCGGAGCCTGGCTCTCGCCATGATGCACGGAGCCAGCTTGTTAGTAAGCTACAGGACAACCTACGTGTCGAAAACACCCGTTACGTGATCTACGGAGACCCGCGTATGAGATCAATAATACGATTGTATCCGGATTTAAAGGAGCAAGATTGGACTTGCGCGAGGCCGAGTTTACATGTTAATCGTCGTATGAGTGCAGTACGTGTCAGCGTGGAGTGGGGGTTTGGTATAGTCCGCAATTTGTGGACATTTGTCGACTATAGAGGAGGGCAGAAGCTTTGGTTGCAGTCGTCCTAACGAACGTGCACACCTGCATGAAGCAAGGCAATCAAGCTTCCAGTTACTTAGGAATGAACCTCCAATCGCGGAGGAATACCTGCGCCCCCAAGCTTAAGACAAATTAAACACGATATACTGTGCTTCGAGGCTGAAAAAGATTTAATATAACATAACGTTAGCTGTTTATATCTATGAAGTAAATGCAAGACGACAAACTGAATTACATTTTTTAGTAATACAACGCATCATTTCAAGAATGCCCCTCATGAACTCCATTTGGCCTTGGCGTTCAGCCAAGGACAAAAAGGACAAATGGAGTTAGCGAAGAGCAAAACTTGCTTCTCCCTCGGCCTTGTCAAGGAGGTAGCACTTCTCGTCGAGTTCAAGCGTGCGCATGGCGATTGCGTTGGACTCCTTCTGAAATGCGAGCTCGTCGACGTTAAACTTGTTAGTAGTCTCCATAATCGAAGTGAAGCTCATGATGGCGTTGGCAGACTCCTTCATGATGCAGATCTTCGTATTTCCTTCTTAATCATCATCTTGTTTGCTCCGTCAGAATCGTTGTCGTCTCCTTCATTCCCCAACGACTTGCGCTTGATCCCCATAAGGGTGGCTGCACGCACGGTGTGACTGTCTGACTCGCGCTGTCCAATATCTTGCACTTGTCTTCCTTGGTGGCTTTCTTCTTGTTGGAGATCATGTCGTTCTATGTCATACAGTTTATGCTCCATCCTTCTGCATCCGCGTACCATGTCCGAGAGATCTTGTAGCAATTGTTATCGCTCATCATATTCCTCGTCCGTGATGCGCGCAATGATGCCAAGGTGGCCTTCTGGAAGGCTACCAGTAGGTCGTCGCAACGCTTTCTGCAGACCGTAGCGCTGAGACTATCGCCGTGAATGGTGCGCATGAGTTCATCTACTTCTTCCCATCGAGCACTTGTTTGTCCGTATGGCGCATCGTGTGGGCATATAGACATAACCTCCTTGAGAAGGTCCACATCCTGCGGGGTCGTGAAGCGATGAACTGGCTCCTTCTTACCCTCAGCTTGCACGTCGTGCTGTTCGGTCATTGGAGAAACAAGCAATTAGTGGTGTACAGTGAGTATAAAAAGGTTTGTCAGAAATTCTGACTGAAATATTGTTACGCTAATTTTCCAATGGATTCGGCTGAAATCCTCACTGGCTTATTATATTGTGAAATTCATGATAGCAAAATCCCTCTAAAGTCTCCTGTTGCCGACAAGTTTGTGTGCATCTACTCGTGTTTGATCTCTCTCGTTTGCAGCAATCTACCCCGTACTCAATGCCTGTTCATGGTCTGCGACTACCGTACAGTACACCCGAGAGAATGTCATCTGGTGCTTCGACGCACCATCTCTCAAGAGATGCAGTACTCACCCACGATGCCGTTGCCGTCAACGCCACCGGCTGGTGTGTTGCCGTATGCGGCCCGAAATCGCTACTGTGATGCGGTTGGGGCAGCACCTAGGCAATCAAGTGCAGGCAGGTGTCCATGAACAATCCGCGCTGCTAGACGACGTGCAGAATGCTGTCGGCGCCCAGACGCGACATACCTAGGAGCAGGTGGTGCACCTGCACCATCAACAACAGTTGCATTCGCAGAAACATATGGAAATGAACAATCGGCTGATGAATGAGCATGAGGAGCAGTGCCGCCAACAAGAAGTCTTCGTCGAGCAGCTGCATGCACAGAACAAGTAGGCTGAGGCCCGCGAGAAAGGTTTGCACCAAGCTGCCGACGAGTCTGTCAAGCACAGCGAGCAGCTGGATGAAATGCAACGCCTGACTAGCGCCCATTGACATGCCTTCTTGGCGACCGCGGTGGCGGCTGTTGCAGGTCCCACGACTGCCCCCACGGTCGCGAGCGTTCAAGCTGTCTATGGGTTCCACGAGGTGACCAATGCCTCGTCGTTCAACGCCAGCACGAAGGTGCAGATGCGCAAGTTCATGGACCAGTACGAGGCGTACGCCCGCGAAGTCAACATCGTGAAGGCACAGCGCACGGGTGGTGCCCAGGTCCAGCGCGCGCCGCTGAGCGCATGCACGATCCGTTATCGGTCGAGCGCATCGCATTCTGGGGGATCGGGAAGGCCAGCCACGAGCTGACGGAGGAGGACTGGAAGGTTTTCTTCCTTGGCGCCAAGGACTGCCATCCTGTGGACACGTTCAAGTTGGACGCCGCGATAGTCAAGCTTAAGATGGATACGACCGTGCAGTCGGCGGAGTCCCGGGTGTCAAACTTGGTCTCGGATTTCGAGGCGGTCCTCGTGCGCCTCTCAATGGAGGGGTTCGCGGAGGCCGAACCAAAACGATCTGTCGACTATCTCGTCGCGGCTGTGCGCGGGCCCGTGTCAAGGAACTCATGAAGTTGAACGAGAACCGCGGCCTCAAGGAGGACGCACCCGATTTCAAGCACTGGCTGGCGGACTACATGCGCCGCTACGATGAGGTCGATCCTCTGATGGCAGCTGCGGGCATTGCCGCGGCAAAGGCCGACAAGTTGCCCTCATCGATCAAGACCCCCAATGCTGGGAAGGCCCCCAAGGTCGTGGTCATCGTCAACGTCGACAAGGTCCCGAAGTCGAACTTCACGAAGCGTGCGTGTTTCAAGTGCCGGTCGCTGACCCAGACTCGCGGCATTCAAATCGCTTCGTCCAATCCATCAATGCGTCCGCGTCCACACATACTTGAGTTGTAGGGCCATCCCATGCAGTGTGTTCGCAGTAGTGAGTCAGGGCGTCTCTGAGTACCACACCAGCACATACTTGACGCCATGAACGCTTCGTCCATGTACAGGTAGTCGAAGAGGATTCCTTCGTTGCAGTCTTTCGCCTGCCATCTCGGGACATACGGTCTATGGACCACCCTTCCCCCTTTCACTTGAGGGTACAACAAGCAGCCACGGAGGAATTCACTGTCCCTGTCGACCAAGTGCTCGACGTAGAACAAGCGTCGGACCGTAGACACCAACGCTGCATGTCTGCGATGTCCGGCGCTGCCGCAGTGGCCGACGACCGTGATCCGTTGGATCAGGTCATCTGCCGCACTCCGAATCAATGACCGCTGGTCCACTTGCCACAGTCCATCCACCGTTGTACTGGGAAAGCGGAAAGCAACGCCCACCGAAGAAAACTGTATGTCACATAAATATTTGTCCAATCAAATTAATTTTTCAAAATGGCTCGCATTCATTGGCGGAATTTTTATAAAGCGCGCCCGCGCGCTTTTCCAACAATATAATTCTGCTCTGGACGTGCAAGTCGACACAATCACCACACAATTCCGAACATGAGTCGACGTAAGCAATATCCCATATCCATGAAGCTCCAAGACATTGGTCTCCTTGACACAATGTCTTGCTGCGAGATATCGCGAGTCATGGGGATCTCTCGACGTACCATTAGCAGCTGGCAGCACCAGCGTTTCGAGTTGCTAGCGTACGACGGCAACAAGAAGTTCAACAAGGTTGTGCCTGGCGGCCGCGCTACGAGGAATTCCCCGACCCACCTGGTTTAGTTGAGTTCATAAATCGTGTACGCGATAACGAACGTGCTTTGACCACCACATATATGATGACATGGATCAAGCTGAACCAACGGGACTGGCTGCTCAACTACCTCTCTACCAAGAAGCCCAACGTTGCCTACAGCTCACTTCTGAAGCTACTTCAGTGTTTCTGCAAACGGCACGGCTTTACTCGGCAGCGGCCGACGAAGAACAAACTGTGGGCCGAGGTCCAAGAAGAGTTTGCCAGTGACTTCCACCACGAATTCGCCTCCTATTCGAATGACTCCGTGTTCACACATTGACGAAACGGGCATGTACTACGACCTACCGCCAAGCTATATTTGGTTTGTCCGGGGCGGAAGCGCAAAGATCTCGGCCGGCGAGAAGCACTCCATGCGCATGACGGCACGAGCGGACGGGACCAAGCTGCCCCTGATGTTCGTCATGCGCGGGACGCCTGGAGGCCGGATCGAATCAACTGAGTTCCCTACATTCCCACCGGGGCATTACTACGCCGTTCAAGAAAAGACGTGGATGGATGGTCGTGTATGGAAACAGTACCTTCGCGAGGTGTTGGGCGAGATCATCCAAGAGCCTTCGGTCATGCTGTTGGACAACTTCGAATGTCACGTGTCAGATGAGTCGTACAAGATCACGTATGAAGAGCTGGGTGCGCACCTTTGCCCGCTGCCGCCCAATTCGACGTCCGTCTGCCAGCCGCTGGACGTGATGGCACTTCAAGCGCAACCTCCGTAACTTGTGGCTATTGGAAGTGCAGATTGTCGGTGATGATGAAGATCCATTCTCGCCTACTGCTTGTCAAAAGCGCATGGCGATGGTGAAGCGAGCCATCGCTGCATGGGACATGGTGTCTGACGATGTGATCCGCCGAAGATTTGAAAAGGTAATTCCACAATTGGTGGCGAATAATTGATTCAATTTTTAAAAAAGTTGAGTGGATTCTTTATAATTTCATAGAATTCCTAGGTTATAAAAAAAGTCAAAATTTTCAAAGAAAAAAGTTCGACGCGCCTGGGACTTGAACCTGGAGCTCACTCAAGACACACAACGTGTTAAACGACTGCGCTATCGCGTCGAACGCTTACGCTTATTGTTTGTCTGCGGTAGTAATCAAGGTTCTTGGATTGTCATCCTTCTACTCCTAATGACCTCTTTATTTCATTGCGACATTACCGGTGCTGAACAAATTTCACCGTACGTACGATGTGGAATTTTGTCACCTCCAGAAGTGATTAAAATTATTTGAAATAGGCTGCGATTGGCTAGAATAGTTGTTGAACTTCGTAGTTATGTGACCAATTAGACAACTTGTTTCCGTCTGAACTCGAAGACAAGGTGGGCGTTACATTCCCTCTGGTCTGTCCCCGAAACCCCGAAACTTGGCATGCTGGTCTTGTGCCTGGCGGATGTCCGTCACACATGGCCACACAAAATCCTTGTCTAGTGGCCGCAGCTTGGGTTGCGCCGGTGGAGGGACTTTGCGCGCTTTGATTTTCTTTGACCAGCCATGACCCCGACGTATTTTGACCCTCTAGGTCGCCAGGCTTGGCGTCAGCTTACCCCAACGGCTCATCATATCCGTCCAAAGGTTGTGAATGTCGTCGATGTGCATGATCCCATAACGATAGCCGCCAATAATTTCAGTCCATCGCATAAGTTTGCCACGTGTGTGCGCCTTCCATTTTTCGCCCAGGGCAAAGATATGGATAAGGTTACAGTACATTTTGACCCGTAGGTCGCGTAAGCATATAGTTGAGCTTCTCGCACGCACGCGCAATTTAGGTAGGCCTCCTTCTCGATGACTGACCACGCCTTCTTGGCTGACATAAGAGCATTTCGTGACGTTGTTCTTGGACTGAGCTGTCGTCATCGAATGCCACCACTTGCGTTACCCACAATCGACCATCCATAATCGCTTCCATCCGTAAACAGACATATCGTGACGTCATCATGCGGGTGAGACAGTTCCACCGATTATCGTAGCTTGGATTTTACGGCGTCAAACACTTGCTTCTCGCCATCGGTAAGTTCCAGCTGAACACCAGATGTGATCCACTTTTTCTAGCCCTTGCCCTCGAGGGCCTTCGTCAGACACTGTTGCAGTGGGTCGACGG